CCACCACCTGCTCCACCGCCGTTGGTCGGCCCCCTGGAGTCGGCGGCCATTCCTCCTCCATGGCTCCTCCCTCCGTCGGCTCCACCGTGGGCAGTCATTATGGCTGTGGCCTGGGTCCAGCTGGACTCCTCCTGCTCCAAGCCCCTCCTGTCTCCTCCCTGGCTCCTCCCTCCATCGTCTCTTCCCTGGACTCTGTCTGCCGGCCCCCTCCTGGATATCCGTCCTCCTCCTGAGCCTCCTCCCAAGTTCCCACCCATCCCTCCCTCTATTGTTTCTATGGTGCGTGGACGCACCTTCCGGGAGGGGGCGTAATGCCAGGATTCTGGACTGTCTGTGTTGTGTTTTTGCTCCCCATGTGCTCTGCTACCTAGTTTTCCTGTGTGTTTGATTGTTCATTGTTTCCAGGTGTGTCTCCTTATTAGTTTATCCTCTTCACCTGTCTGCCCCTTGTTATCTGCCCCATTTAAGTTCTAGCCTGTGCCATTCTCCCTTGTCCGGAATTTAATGTTCATCTTGTGCTGCATGTGTTCCTGTCTGCCCTGTATACCCCGTGTTGGAAGGATTAAAGACTGTGTTTACTGCGAATTCTCCTGTGTCTCCTCGTTCCTCGCTCCTCAGTGTAGTACAACCGTGACAGCAGTGTAAGGCTTCTCCAGATGTATTTTGAAGTCACCAAAGCCCACAAGTGGACTGCCATCCACAGAGAATGAGGACAGCAGCCCATACAGCTCCTCTATAAAGGTGTCCAGTTGACCAGAAAGGCAATAAATCATTGCAATATGGAGTTTAACAGGAGCTGTTACCATAATAGCATGAAACTCAGATGCTATAGGACAGATAGGACGCAGCTTAGCAAGATTGCGTTGTCGTCTGCGTGTGATGTTAGAGCATTGTTGAGAGAGAACAAGAATGTATTGGAAACATACTGCCGCCTACCTGACTCTGCCTGAGAGGTAAGGAAAAATACACTTACTTGAGATTATATTTTTTTATGTCTCTTAAATAAATGATTGTATTCTTGAAAACAATCTTTTATAGTACTATTGAATAAAATATTAGTTAAGCTGGTGTGTGGTGGGCATTCTGGCGTAATATGGCTGCCGTCGCATCATCCAGGTGGATGCTGCACATTGGTGGTGGTTGAGGAGATTCATGTAAAGCGCTTTGAGTACCCAGAAAAGCGCTATATAAATGTAACGAATTAATAATTAATTCATTAAAGCAATCTTTAATTGTACTATTGAATAAAATATTAGTTAATTATCAAAGAAAGAAAGAAATTAATAGCCATAATATGGACTTTTGTAAATGCTGTGATACTATGATGCTCAGATACTGTTATTTCCTTCTCACATTGCTGATTTCACCATTAACTCTTCACCTGAACAATTTATGTTTTTGTATATGGTATTATTGTAATCCTTGACCATCAAAACATAGGGGTAGATCGCTTTTCGGTGTTTTGGCTAAGATCACGTGTGATTGACCCAAATGGATGCAATGAGATAGGATGCACCTTTGCCGACCATGGTGGTGCAGCTGAAGATTTATGGGGGAAGTCGTGGCCTAATGGTTAGAGATTAGGACTCGTAACCCAAAGGTTGCGGGTTCGAGTCTTCACAACGCATTGGATAGCTGGCCAATCAGAGCACACCTCGTTTTTCAGACCGATGAGTTTTGTAAAAATCGACGCGTTTCAGAAAGGCGGGGCATAGAGGAGAAACAATAATGTACAGTATGTGGAAAATAATGTGTTTTTTTTTACCTTAAACCGCATAAACACATTTCATTACACCAAATACACAAAATAATGTTCTTTTTAGCAACATCATATGACCCCTTTAAAGAGTCTTAAAATACTAGAAATCTGGTTGTCTGTGGTAGGAGCATTGAGTCATGCATCTGTCTAGCTTGCCGCCATGTTAGAACCCCCTAGCACCTCTTTTTACTTTGAGATTGTTCTGAGGTTAAATACAGATTTAAAATTGTAACAAGATAGTTTAATAGCTATGATATTGTTTTTGAAATCAAATCTTTGCATAGTTATGACAGGAAAGACTGGTATCTAACAATGCCTTGGAAAGAAAAACAGTTAATTTAAAAAAATAAAGCATATACATAAACCCAAATAGGAAATAAAAGAGTTATCAAATAAACATGTGTCCTGTTTCATATTTTAGAGCAGTTTAGATGCAATTTTGGAAAGAAATCTATCAAATCTGTATGTGTGTGAAAATATTCAGATGTAACCCCCTTTGTAATCATTAACATTTTCATAAGTAACTGTAATTTAATTACACATTTTCATAAGTAACTGTAACAGATAATAGTTACATTTATTTTGTAATTAAATTATGTAACTCTATTACATGTAACTAGTTACTCCCCAACAGTGGAAACATTATATTTCAGAATCAGATGTTTTATGATGATACTGTAAGAATAAATGAAAGAAAAAATTAGTTGTTTATTGCAGCATAGCAGTGTCAATGTACATTTAGTACCTTGAATTCAACAGAGTCAGAATGAACCCCCTAACATCCTAAACTCAAACCATTGTTTTATACAGTTACAGTTTACTACCCTTAATGTAAATGAAGTTGCTCCTGTCGTAACAGCTGTGGTCTGTATGTTAATGAAGTTCTGACACCCCATTGTCTGAGATGGTTCTCGGTGTCCCACACCTATTCCCATTCTACAATTGGTCACCATTTGCTCAGGATGTGAATTTTTATCTCACAATTCTGACTTTTCTCTCACAATTGTGAGTTTACATCTCGCAATTCAGGCCTTTTTCTCAGAATTTTAAGATATAAACTCGCAGTTCTGAGAAATAAAAGTCACAATTGCGAGATTTTATTGAGAGTTTATATCTCACAATTCTGATTTTGTAACTCGCAATTGTGAGTTTATATCACACAATTCTGAAAAAAAAGTTAGTATTGTGAGAAAAAAGTGAGAATTATGAGATAAAATTCACAATTACCTTTTTTTTTGTTTTTATTAATTTGTGGAAACAGACTTCCATAGAAACTTTACTCATCCCATCACTCTCAAGTAATAAGGAGAATACTATTATTCCTAAAAACCAGAAGAACTCACAATAATATATGAGAAGGTTTGTCAAACCTTGAGCTTTTCCTGTCTTTGTGTGGCATCTGCCAATCTGCATATCCATCCCAATGTTACAAATAAGATCCTAGACAGAAAACAAACAAACAAACATGGAAAAATCTTCATCATGGTGTAGAATCTTGAGTATTAACAGATTTACACATTTTAATGAGCTGAGGTTTCAGAAGCCATATTAGAAGGGGTCAAAGGATTTGCAGATATGAAGAAACATTTACTCTGAGTGGGTGTAGGTGATTCTTGACCCTTGATTTCAGTATTGTTTGTTGACATTGGAAAGAGTTCAGAAGCCCTAGGGGTATTTTGTGTGTGTGTATAGTTTGTTCAGATGATGATGATGTGTATATTTTACCATTTTCTATAGGCTGTGTGAATGACTAAAAACAATATAAAATACAATATAAAAATAAATATACATTTCCTCGTATAATGGCAGCATAAATTCATTGCAAACTTTGAGTTGTTCAACTGTAAAATATGTTTTGTAAATATCTTAGTAATTATTACATAGTGTCATCTATATTTTACTGCATAAATAATACTTTTAATATTTACTGTAGCACAGATGTATTTTTTAGGCTTTAGTAGTGCTAATATTGCACAGGTTTTCAAATGGTATTGCCTACATGGTTGAATCATTAATCAAATAATCGATACAAATGTTTTTGAAGGACCACATTTAGCATGAGACTCCCTTTATAAGAGACGGCTCAGTTCATGTCAAGACCTAGATGATCACGCGTCATCATAGATCTGTATATTTTTGTTATTGCC